GGCAGTTGGATCCAACAGGAATTAACTGCAGTTCAGCAAAAAAAAGCAACTAGTCCTGGAACACTGTTAAGAATACAAAATGTGGCAATTTAGCAACTTGTAATGGTAATGTGCAACAACCTGGAAAATAATAATATCAAAAGGAGTCATTGTGCCAGTACAATTTAGCGCACAGCAGGTACAACCGAATATGTTCATGCAGCTCAAAAATGAAAAATCTGCAGAAGTTGGATTCCAACCAGCGAATTCTGAACTCAAGGGGCGAGCATGCCGACTGCCCACCAGGCTAGCCAGTCACCACAGCGGGAATATCAGCGTTGATCCAAGATGAGCGGAATCGAGGCAGTGCCTCTCCCACAGAGCTACGCTTGTGACAACTCAAATCGGCATCCAGTTTTTTTATTTATTGACGAGCATCTGGATGGTTCCAAACATAAGCCACCACTGTGCCATATTGCACACAGTAAATTAAGCTTAAATGCTTCAGCGCGCAGTCTCATTATGGACGCAGGGCATCTCAGGTCACTGACAACATCAATGTGGGTATGATCCCTTTCTCTCTTGAGCATCAAAGACCTTTAAGAACTGGGCTCGTCATGTTATTTGATGACTTAATAAAAGCGGTGAGAGGCCATAACAACATTACGTGGCACGGAGATAATACTAATTGGTATGATAATTGTCACATTAATTCACGATGCACAAATACACAACGCGACACTAAAATCACAACGGAAGATTGCAGCGCAGACAAACTACAGCGAGTTGACGTACTCGTTCCATGACACCGCAGACACGTAATAATCTCTACGTAGACTATTGCACAATGCCGTCTGTACAGTCAAAGGACACCCTGTTCCAGTGACAAAGCAGAGGATGAGCGGCTTTGGCTTTGTGGGCAAAGGGGCCAGATGTTGAGTCTATAACACAACCACTCTCTCCATGGGTTGTCAAGCTCCAAAGCAGTATCGTTGACGTGTACTCGCAAATAAGGTGGAGCGTCTTTCTCACTTTGGCTTTGGATAAAGGCTGTTGCCAGAAAAGTTTGCTGCATCCGTTGTATATATATTATATTTTAATCTGCCTGGCCTCTGCAACAAAGCCGGTAAGCAACTTGACTTCAGAGTCTAGCAAACCCGCCAATGAGGTGGCGGGAATTTAATGCGCGCACTCTCCAAATCCGCTGTTGGATTGCGGTGAGAAACAAAAAACAGAGTAAGGAAAGCTGAAAAATGGCTCTTTGCTGCAATTTGGAATGAGAAGAGCCTGGCAGAAGAGGGGGCTTTACTTTAACGCCAGCACTGTAATGGTAATCTTTCTGATAAAAGCCCGGGTAAACCGTTGTGCAACTGCAATGCTAAATGAGGCCACGAAGCTGTAACAGCAACAAAGTGATTCTCCCCCCAACCCCTCCCCTTCTGTAAAAGCTATAACATGTGCAATTTCAACGGCAATCATTTACCCGGGATAGGATACCAGATTTTGTGCCCAACACATTCAACACTTGTCGCTGCTGGAGAGACACCGGTATAGAGCCGATAGCAGTATAGAATATTTCAGCGTTGCGAATGTCACCGCAATTGAATAACCTGTAAATGAGCTCCCATGGGTATTCAAAATATACCTCATTTTACAGTGCGAGCTTTGGTAATACCCCAAGATAATTATTAAACGTGTTAATAATGTTAAAAACAATTATTAAACCATTGTCCCAGTGAAATATGGCGATGGTGCCAACTCCATTAAATATGACCGGTGTGTGTTTATGCTGTCAGTCTTCATCAAGCAGCGGATCGACAGTGGACAATGAGGAGCTTGAGGATTGTGTTGCTGTAATGGTAAATAAACAACTGCGGGCGACAGATCCCTGAAGATGCTCAAACACCACGCAAGGCATTCGGTTAAAATGACTCTCATGCAACCATTTCACGGTGCACCACCTTAACGATGCGAATGCCCCATAAAGCCGTTGCTTATATGGCCTCTCACTCCGCCATAACGCTGCTGCACACACGTCGCCACAGTCCTTCGAGCCGTCTTTACGCCTGCATGATGCATGCACGACTTTCGCCTGCCTACAGGGTGTGCAAAGAGCAGCGGCGCACACGGGCGTCAAACCAATTCCCCGGCGCCTGCGATCGAGGTTAACGCAAACCCGCGTGCGTATGCGGGCGAATGGAAGCAAGCGGCGAACTTTGCACACGGACGGCAAACCGACACCGCATTTGTAGTGGGAAGCATTTTTGGTGGTTGCGAGACGCAAACCTGCAGCAAGCAGTGACAAGAAAAACAATCGGACTTGGTGCAGGAAGAGGCAAGGAGAATACGGATTTCTATTAAAGAAACTAACATTTTGGGTTCCACTCTCAACCTTGTGCGGTACTTAAAATCAATCCACGCCAAGTGTTTTTCGCAACTCCTATAAAACCACAAGTAGCATATCACCACCTCCGCTTCGCAAAACGTCCATTATATAGAGCTGAACAAAACTTATTGTGCTTTTTGCATCCCAAAGTTAATGATTTTCTACTTGAAGAGGCCCTGCTTTGATTAAATTGGAGACCTCTAAAGTAAGATAGCGTTGGCCAAAAAACAAGGTTCAGTATTTTTTTCCATTGCGCACGATGTATTGAGCCGCTGAGCTTTGCAAAGAAAACTCACCGAAGACCTGATAATGGTCTTCACCGAAATTTGGTTCGTTTTTCTTAGCATCATTGCAGCAGCAGCAGCAAGCAGCAGCCTTGGAGATCTGCAAACTTGTCTGCTGACACAGCAAGAGGATATGCATTGGAAGGCATTGCCAGTGCGAGCGCGTGTGGCTTTTAAACGGGCCGCAGTGGTAGGTTGCATTAACGTTTTGGGGGGTGGTTGTGCACTGCGGCGAGCTATTGCTGAACGAAACTGGCATCTTTGTAATGCAGGTAAATCCATCAACAATGCAGCCAGTGTGCATGAAAACTGAAAGTGAAAACGTACAGGAAAATTTGCTAATTAATAAAAGCAAAAGTGCTTATGCGGCATCTTGAAATGTGCAATGCCACATATTTCCAGAGTTCATTATAATAAAAATCCATTACCAAAAGGCAGTTAAATTGTATCATTCAGGCCCATGCAGCTCAGTGTATTTTTAAACCACTGCGAAGCAAGTGTGAGTTCATTACATTGATGTGCGGAAAAAAAATCTTGTTTAGGGTAATGTTGCTGATGACAGTCTGCTCTGCGAATCCATTGTTTAAAGACCCCCCTCCCCCCAGCAAAATTGGTGTGGTAGAAACAACGAGAAAAAATTCAAGAAAACCCCATCTTGTTAATGGGGTTTTCAAAGAGCAGCAGATTGCAGTTGAATGAGAATGCTATCACGTATCAGCGTATGTCACAAGTTATCTGGTGTCCTCTTACGTACCACCATATGTTAATTTCAAAAGCCCGAGTTAGACGTGCAAGTTGAATGCCAAGATGTTGCTTATATTTTACAAACTTCTTTTCAACCCAATTTATTAGCAATTCCCCAAAAAAGATTTTGTTCTAAAATTCTCCAAATATCTCACCGAATGACTTGAATTGGATGATTATCATCTACGTGTAAAAAAAAACGACAATTTGGAAGTCCAGGCTATGAAGGAGCACACAAAGGCATTTCATCCAGTGAAATACACAAGTATAGCGGAGAGCAATACATTATAAATCGTGGCCATTATTTATTTACCATCCAACATGACAACCTGGGATCCTAGTTGTGTACTAACGATGAATCTCGTTTGTACAGATATAACAACTTCAGAAACAACACTACTTGGCCGAGTAACCCATTCGGGGATCTAACGATGCGCAGACTCATAATGAACATACATCATGCGCACTGGAGAGAAACCCTGGCGAACCGAAATAACGCGGGGGAGAAGCTCGTGTGAGCTGAAAAAGCTTAGCCAGGATTGCAATTAAAATCTACATTATAAAAAAACCAATACACACGTGTATAAATATAACACACACTATGTGTCTATGTAATACACGCATTAGTGCTTGTAGTCTACGTGCTGGTTAGCGTACAGACATTTAAAAAAAATACTTGTGACATGTGTGCCGTGTGCCGTGCTGTGCAGTAATGAAGTTGGCAGTTCAAGGGTTTGGCAGTGCCCCACCAATTCTACTTTCCCACCGTCCTTCCCCTAACGTTCTACCGGACATCCATTCATACGTAATACACTGTGACTACGTATTTTAATACACACACAGTGGAACATGCTTGAATTCTCTTTAGATTTCTTTCCTTTAATGTGCATTACGGATTGTTTTATAATTCGATGACCTGGCTCGGCTATATACAAATTCCGGCTAGCTGAGGTTTTCGTTATATGCATACATACAATCTTGGATGTCAGACTCGGTTATTTAAAATGTCTATGCTGCGTGTAATTGATTCATGGAAACCCTGCGCCAGAATGATTTTTACACCTACCACAACATAAACATATTAGCGAGTCGAATCTTGACAATTCGTCAAGCGGTGGTGATTAATTGTTAATCCACTCCTGGATTTATAATTATTCACCACACCGTACGAGTCGTGGGGGTTACTTGACCATATTGCACACTCGTCAGTGTGGGTTGGTAATAGCAGAGGGCATCGTTGCGGGCTCCTAAGTTCAGTACTGGTACAACAATATATTTTAATGCACTGCCCTCTGCTGCCCACATAGCCTATAGCAACCTGTTTGGACAGTGTTTGCCGAATTCAAGCTCACGATCCAGCCAAAAATTCTGCTTAGCTTCTGAGATCTGGAGAGATCAGAGGCACATTGCGGATGACCGGGTCACAGGCAACGAAAACATTAGTAGCATACAATCCATCTTCCCTCCGAAACATTAAACAGAGCTGTGGGACTGTGTGTGCGTGCGCGCGCGTGTCTCTGTCTCTCGGGCAGAGATTTTGGTCGAGCATCGTCCCGTCCTCTGCAACTCCGCAACACGTCGTGAAACGTTGTCACCCCCCGCCCCAGCGATGCGCGTGCACAGCAGCCGGGCGGCGGTGCCCACGCTGCTGGGTGTGTGGCTGGGCTGCGTGCTCGCCGGGAGAGGCTGCCCCGAGCAGTGCCAGTGCTACAGCAGAGCGGTGGAGTGCGGCTCCAGGCAGCTGACTCGAGTGCCCGGTCCCATCCCCAACACGACCCAGGTGCGATCTGCCCTCCGACACCCCTCCGCCCCCAACGCGCGCGTGCGGTCCACGCACGGACTGCTGCCACATGTTGTGCATTTGCCACAAATCTATTAAAAAAACTATTTTTTATTTTACCAGGTAAGGCCCACTGAGCTATGTAGCTCTTTTTTTTATAAGCGATCTTGCTGTCAAAAATGATAGCTCAACGAAGTGGCTTATCACGTGGAAACTACAGCAGCCAAATGCTCTATAAACTAATGTTGATTCAAAAATGGGGAGGGAAGAAACTGGAGGACTCGGAGAAAAATCCACTCGACCACGGGGAGAACATGCAAACTCCAAATATACAGCAGACATCAGGGTCGAGATCCAACCCACGGCCTCCTGTATACCAGGTGAGGGGTAGTCAACATCTCGCCACTGCGGCGCGCATCGAACCCATGCGCAGTATGTTTTTTGGCTACTATACCAAAGCTCCCCTGATCCATACACGAAAACAAAGGCAATCACCCATTTGGTTCGCTAAACAGTCGAAAGTAAGTGCTGTTAGAGAGCAATCATTAAGGCCAGGATGCACATAATGGGGTATGGCCAGAAGCATGCTTGGCTGCTTTTGTCTCCAGCACTGAAGTTCACATACATCATCAGGTTTTCATATAAAGCCGAGTCAATCTAAAAATGGTCCAGGATAGATTTGGTTACCACTTGTGACTGATGGTGGCCAGAAATCGAACCCGGAGGTCACTGGGATCGTAGCGCGGCGCACGAACCGTTCAATACACACAACACACCCTCTCAATAGAGTTTGTGCACCATGCCCCGGACAGTAGATTATACACAATGGCTCGTGGATCCAGGCCAGTGCCCTACACACCATATGGCCCATCGAACGACGGCGTACACGTACACGCACACGCTCGCACAACTGTCAGTAGGAGCAGCTGGGGTGGCAGCTGGCACACGCGGCAAGAGGTGGCACGGCCAGGCCAGGCCACATGGAGTGTGGACCTGGAGATCAGGGCATTGAGCCAGTGAGAAGTGAGTTAGGACAAGTGACGTCACTGTGTAACATTAGACGATACGTTCAACAGATTAAAATGCATTCTTACTCCAACAATACATGTATCAGAATGATCATGCAAGAATTAATCGTTAAGGATTTATGCAACTTACAAGAAAATCGTAAGCAAAGCCTAACCCAATTTGTGCGGTTGGCTACGTACTGTGTGAAAGAAGTTCAACATATATACATACTAATGGATAAAAAAAACTCAAATTGTGACAATTCCTAAAATCACTGGGGGGGTGTGGTAAATAAAATCAGCTGATCTGGAAAGCCGCCATGCCTCGGTGAAAGGTTAAAGGTTCATACTCCTCGTCATGTGCTGCGTTCATGTACTGCGCTAACCCAACCCTGTAAGTGATGCAAAGTAACCAACCCCATCACAGCTGAGCGGGGCTGCAGTACATCTGCGACAGACATCTGGAACTCACTTCGGAGGCTGGGGGATAACCCCCTGCCTTCGAGTGGAGAGTCTACTGCAGAGCGCTAACTCTTTTCAAGAAAGATCGTAAAACATTAAAGTCCAAACGAGCTTTTGTAAGTGGGAGTTGAAACGAATTAACCAGCAAGCCCCTTAGAATCTTCGGAATTATGGTGCTATATTAAAAGGAGATAGTTATTTTTTATCACAAATTGTTACATGCCTAGCAATGATATTGGTGATGTGGTTGAGCTGATCCTGCCTGGAATTTCAACTCGCGACCCTCGTGAAAGTCAGCTCTACTGACGGTCGTTAATCCTGGCATTGTATCACTTACAAAGAATGGAATGTGCACATGAATTTACGGTGTTTTATTAATGCTCTTTTTATTAAAGCGCGAAACTACATTTTGTCAGGTCATGACAATAATTATTGGCGGTGGTAACAGACAATTATTGTGCAGTAAATCCCTTACATTTTGGCTTCTGGAATCATGATAATCGCAATCTCAGCTATGTTTTGTAATCCAAGGGCAATTATTTACGCTGAACGCTGTCATACGCTCTCCCCGCGTGTATTACACATGAAAGATTACAGAATGAACAGCATTCGACTATTCTTTTTACAAAGATCCCCTGCATATCCTTAACAGACTTTTGCGGCAAGTGCTGTTAGCAAGCACCTTATATATACACACACCCACAAACAAACGTGTGTGTGTGTGTGGATGTTTAAGAATTATCGTTGCTCCGGCAGATTAAACTGTGTTGGTCGTGCACTCCGTAACCATAACATTTGAACCGAGCACGATAAGCATTCATCCAAATCTCATTAGCGAATCTAAACGGCTGGAACTTTCTGTGCACGTCCATTTATTTGAAGGAAAAGGACATTGTTTTGCACAGGGCCAAGCTCCAAAACGGACCGCAGCCTCAGGAAATGGAAAGAGAGCGAAGGGATGAACACATGCACGCACGTTCTGAGAAATAAAGAATGAATTACCTGTACGTTTCTAGGTCATTGCTGAGGTCAGCTTCGCGAGAAATGCGCAAACGACAATTTTGGACATTTGCAGCCAACATGCGTCACGACTGCCGACTGGGCGAACAATAATCCCTTTAGGACTTCTGTCAGCGAGAAAGGCATGTTTACAATACTACTTACCGATCTTAACTTGGCTAAGTCTACCGAGACCCATGTCTCTTTTTCAAAGGAGAAGTGGGAAATGCGTATATCCCAATGATTAAGCTTGTAAAACTAAATTCCAAAATTTCGATTTAAAGCTTTCGTGACTGCAGGGATTCATCTTCTTGGTTCTTTCGGTAAAGTCACGTAGAATGGAAATAATAAAATAAAAGCATAATAAAATACAATTCTCACGACGTTTCGGCCACAACGCAAGCAGCCGTCCTAAGGTGAAGAACAGGTCTGTCGAGAAGACAGACACATTCAGACTGTCTTCTCGACAGACCTGTTCTTCACCTGAGGACGGCTGCTTGCGTTGTGGCCGAAACGTCGTGAGAATTATTTTATTATGTTTTATTATTATTATTATTTAATTATTTCCATTCTACGTGACTTTACCGAAAGAACCAAGAAGATAAATTCCAAAAGTTAACACAAACGCGTTGCCAACAGCAGCATCAAACAGCATGAACTAACCTGTGATAAGCAATGCAAGCCCTACATACCGAAACAACATTTTATATTTACATATTTTTTTAAGTTACCCAAAAAAAATCACAAAAACGTATTAAATTATTCATCTGTTCAAACAACTGTAGCCAATTTTTTGTCGTGCTGTGTTCAATCGTCAGACCCCGCTAACTTACCTGCTGCGAATGCATGGCCAAAGGCAGAAGATTTCTAAAGTGTTTTATTGCCAGCTGTACCAAGAAAGATGAACTGGGCTTTGATTAAGAAGAAAAAAGACAAAGATCCCCCGTAAAGGCTTAACAGATTGTTGGGGAAAGTGCTATTACTGAGCGCCTTTGAAGGCCGGCACGACATACAAAGGGGGTGGGTGGCCAGCTCCACGTCTGGCCATCTTCATCTCCCCAGTGGTGATGTGTACACACTGCACCAGGTACTCGTTTGAGGCCGAGCCAACCTAGAGGAGGCCCAGGACCTGTTCAGATAATCGTGTTGGGTGTGAATGGGAATAATAGCGCAATGTGCTAACCACTGCACTATCACTCCACACACAGACATATATACGCGTGACTAATGCGTTTCAATCAATCAGATGTAATCATTTAACAGCATCAACATCGCCGTTGACTTCATAAAACCGAGCCTGGCATATGAGGTCATGACTAGAGATGAATTTATATCTATAAACCTGATTCCAGACAGTACTGTTTATGACGATCCACTACACACACACATGCACAAGGTCAGCTCTCAAGAAATCTCACGTTCATTTCAAGTGCACTCAGGGCGAACAATCCGTGTCGATTTATGTTATTTAGGTTTATTCAGCTTGGAATTAAATGGAAAATGATTCCCAAGAAAAGCCACTTTTTTGCCATGGTGACACCAAAACCCAACTATCTATTTTCACGTCGATATGCGCTGAAGCTGTGTAGTCCAGCGCCGTCTGACAGAAGTTTCAGGAAAAATAGACAATTCAATCTGTCAGGAGTGCTTACATTTCATTAAAGCAGGGGACATCGTAATGTCGTGGGACCACAGTTGTCATCAGCATGCTCCTGACAGTGACTTTTGAACAGCTTTCGTTCTTACAAAGCCCAAGGCACAGAAGATGCATTTAATGCAGTGCATCTCCTTTTACGCAACATGCAGCAGTACGTACAAGGATTGCTTGCGCTCTCCTCCCAGGTGCTGTACCTGCAGGACAACGGGCTCTCGCGGCTACACACGCACGCACTCCACGCGTGTGCCCATCACCTCGAGAGCCTCTACCTGCAGCAGAACCACATCTCCTCGCTGGCCGGGGCCGATGGAGAGGAAGATGGGCTCTTCACGGACCTGTCGGCCCTCAGGGAGCTCAACCTGGCCTCCAACAGGCTCACCACGCTGCCCGCGGGCGCCTTCGCCGGCCTCCTCAACCTGCGCCAGCTGTACCTCAACAACAACTCCATCGGCGGCGTGCCGGCGGGACCACTGGAGCCGCTCGCTCGCCTGCAGGAGCTACGCCTGCAGCACAACCGCATCCGCTGGGTGGAGGCGGGCGCGTTCGGATCGCTCGCCGCGCTCGCGCTGCTCGACCTGTCGCACAACGAGCTGCGTAGCCTGGACCAGGAGCTCCTGTCGCCCATGAGGGGCCTCAGCACGCTGGGCCTGACCGGTGGGTGCACCCTCGGCGTGAGGTCTCGTTGTGTGGTAATGCAGCATGTGGAATATTTTTACGCAGCACCTGAATTCACTGCTCTTAGAGCCAGGCAAACAAAAGTTCAATGGTTGGATTCCTGTGGCAAACTGGGAATTTCCACGTGGGGTTAATTCCAAAGTGTGCCACCTGCTGCAGCGCAGGAATTTAGAGAGCCTTTGACATTGTTTGTAAATGGTGGCCACATCATGTCCGGTGTCAGAGCTCAAATTTGCTAACATTGCTCGTTCAGACACAACAGATCTTCTTCAGTGCCTCGAACAATGCGATATAACTTTGCAAGAACATGTGAAATGGTTTATCACTTACACTAGCAGCCACCGTAAAAGGCCTCTCTGTGTCATCACAGGGAACCACTGGCAGTGCGACTGCACCCTGCGGTGGCTTAAAGAGCTGCAACAGGACACGGCTTTGGCATCGCTGCAGCTCAGGTCCATAAACCTGACCTGCTGGGGACCCCCGGCGCTGGCAGGGCTCCGCATGGAGCAGGTGTCCCTGGAGGCCATGTCCTGCACCGTGCCGCAGGTCCACATCGATCGGCAGCAAATGCAGCTCACGGCCGGACAGAACGGTAGCGTGCTGTGCAGCGCGACGGGACTCCCCGAGCCGAGCGTCTCCTGGAAGCGTCGGAGTCACGGCGGCGACGATCCGGGTAGGACATACGACGTGGGCGGCACGGGGCACTTCAACCGCTCCGCTCACCGCGATGGCAGCGCGTGGGAGGAGGACGTGGCGGCAGCCGCAGCTTCGAACGCTACTGGTCGCGCCGGGCAGCCGCGCCACCCTCGACATCGTGAACGTGACGGAGGGAGACGCGGGCGCCTACAGCTGCGAGGCCGTCAACGCGGCCGGCTCCGACGGGGCCACGTTCTTCCTCGGCGTCGACGCTTCCGAGCCGTCGTGGCTGCGTGCCGAGGAGGCGGTGACCGTTGTGGTCGAAGGGACTGCCGCCGCCACCGGCACCGTGGACTTTGCTGCGATGGCCGCGTCAACGCAGGCCGGTATCGCGGCGGGCGTCGCCCTGCTAGCGGCGACGGTGGCGACGCTGCTCGCCGCCCTCGTGCGCCACCGCAGGAAGGCCGTCCGTGCCCGCGGCAAGAAGGACGACGAGATCTCCTACATCAACGCCTTCACCGAAGGCCCCACAACGTGCGGGCAGCTCGAGGAGTTCCGCGGGGAGAGCGGGCGGGAGATGTACGTCATCAATCCTGGTCGGCGGCCCAGCGTAGCGGAGAGGGCCGGTGGCACGGGGCGGCTCACGGATGCCCTGCCGTCGCATGTCGACGAGCGGCAGCCATTCTGCCCCGGCAACTCGTCCGACGCGGAATTCGTTAAGACGAGCAACTACGGCGACCTCAACTTTGACCAAGCGACGCAGACCTACGGTCTTATCCTGGAGAACCCTCTGGATCACGAGCTGGAAGAGGGTCAGGTGGCGTACGAGATATGCTACTGAGCGCGGGACATATTGGGGAGCGAAAGAGAGGCTGAAAGTAGCGCAACTTACTGCAGCCTGTATTCCAACTTCGGCGAAATGATAGGTGAGCTTAAACGAGCCGTGCAGCATTTAAAAATCCAAGTATGACATCCTAGCCTCTTCCTTTTGACAAAAAAAAGTAACTTAGATCTGTGCGTGGATGGGTATGTCGAGACCGTTTAACGGAGCGCCGCCGCGGAAGGCGCACACAGCCCGCACTACGCCGTGGTCATGCACCACAACGGTCGCATGCACTCTCCCAGGTGACATTCAGCAGACGGAGAGCTTGAAATTCGTATTCCACGTCTGCACCGCCGCTTGGTTTGCTTTTATTTTTTTTTACTTTAAAAAATCATTACGAAAGCGCTCACTGTCACGGAGCCAAACAGGATCTTTGTCATGAGCAGCAGCTGTCACCCACTTGGCCTGCAGATGATGCGCATGGAGTGACATACAATTGTCCTTGAGCCCAGCAGTCAAGGGAAGTGTGCATTATTTTAAGACGATGTCACAAACGTACAATCCACCCATTGTAAGATCGTGTCGGAAGAGTTACGTGGTCAGGGCATCTCTGTATTCAACATTCACGTTTGCACAATGTAAATATGTCGCTTTGAGGGCTTGCATTAAGCGCTATTCCTAATTGCTAAAGATTAGAGATAAGAGTAATTTACGTGTGTTTTCAGTCACTACTGAAATCGATGCTTGTTCATGACAATGGATATGTCTAAGGGGGTGGCTGGGTTAGGACCAAACTGTGCAGTTTGTGCTTTGAATGTTACATAAATCTCACCAAATGAACAGTTTCTGCCTTTTGGAGGGACACTTCCCCCCCCCCCCCCCCCTTTGACCATTAACTAGAACATACACACAACTGCTTAGGCAACATGGGTCTCGTGTATGGGTTTAAAAACCTTTTGTAAAGGTGTGCTGGTGTCCTCATTTGTGTTTGGCCTCGATGCACTGTTCCTTTTTAGGTGTTGTAATTGTCCTATATAGATTAAATATAAATTAAGCACACGTGTCCGAGTTTCACAATGCATGCCCTGCTACGTAACTGGGAAGCCTCGTGCATTATGTTAAGCGGAGATCACAAGCAGCGCCGCAAGCTTTTCAGTATTTAATATCGCTCCTTGAGCTCCAACGCGAAGATAAGGGTTATAAGTTATTGAGGGCCCAAGCCGTGATGACAAGTACGTGCTTACATGCACTTATTGCACAGACTGTGACGTGGCTTAGTGGCGGCATGTTCGCCGATTGTTGCAGAGGTTCACGGTTCGAATCTAGCAGTTGCCCTGGTTATCACTGCAGGCGTAATAACCATGACAATACATGCCGTCAGCTTCACAGTGGACGTGCCGCCCGTGTGTCATGGTCACGCAAATTGGAATAGGCATTTGTAACCATCGTTCCCCTCCTGTGAAAACTTGGCAGAACTCTACTAACAGTCATGAGACTCAGCGAGGCTTTCCTGGGTAAACAATGCTCATAATAAGACACAAGATGGGGTGGGTTGTCGCCGCCACCACCACCCCTTGCTTACTCCTACGTGTATGATGCTTTTATACTGTAACGGGGATACTTTTCAGGGTATATATCAAACATAGCACGAATCGATTCCACGTTAAGGCTCAGACTCGCTGCGATTCATTTGGATTTGATCAACAAAGAGCAAAGCATGGCATCTGCCGTGTGCGTAATATGCCCGCTTCTCCACAGGCGATTGTCGGCTTATTATGAACATTAATTAATTAATTCTGCCAGCAGTCTACTCATCTGGAACAAAAGCGTTCCTCACTAACAAGCACCTGATCAGCGAACTTGTCTCAGTTAATACAAGCCACCCAAGTCCATTCATTACCACATTTTGTTCAAGTAAGTTTATCATAAACATTGTCAATTCCTCTTATATATATTTTCATGACAGGTGAAAAATGCTGATAATATTATTTTTTTTAAACAAGAGCAGCTGCTGCATAGGTTACCCGGAGGTGATATTGGTCATTTGTCTCCAATGGCATGGAAACGCATTTAATCCCGTAACTAAAAACACGGATCTCTGCAAACATTAAGACACACATAACGATGCTTATTTATTTCCATAACAAGGAAATAATTAAACTTGGCTTTAATTAGCACAACGAGTCAGCCCGCTTACTTATTTATGCAACTTCTTTGTGCAGCACTGACAGGCGAGAGACTTTAACATCCTGTTGACAGGGTGGCTTCAGAGACACGGAGGGAGTTTCTTTGCATTTCACAATAAGGACATTGTGGCATTATTTTTTTCAATATGGTCAATTCCCATCACGACCCCGTAAAACAACAGCCTTATAACTTGCTAAGCAGAGCGCAAAGTCCCTGAAATATACCTTATGAGTTCGATAATTCCACCGAGTGTAAAGCAAGCAAACAAACAGAATGCAACCAGGACACGTGCAAACGGACCCGGTGTCAGACACTGATGAACACTGCGCTTTTCAGTGCGCGGCAAGGCATGCCCTGGCAACACCTAAGGTAAATGCACTGTAAATCATTTTCGATGCAATTCTCAAGAATTCAATTTAAGACACACTGGGTTGGCTGAAGTGATGGATGAATGTAGAGTTACATTTGTCCCTTCAAGTGTGCGGGGGCCAAAAACGAAAGCGATATCTTTCACGTACAGCATCGTAATGCGTACCGGAGTCAAAACAGATTAACGGAGCTGCGATTGTTTTAACACGCATTCTTTCAAGAATTGAGAACAGGTGCTGTAAATAGCTTTCGCCGTCACGCCTCGAGCTTTCCAACATGTGTAGACTTTCTCTAATTGGATGTCGACACCGGTAACACTGGTAACGCGAACGGTTCCTTATGCGCCAAGCAAACCTGGGCAGTTTGCACTCTCTTAGTGAACTAATTTGGGACATTGTCACAAACCTAACCGTGTATACGTCAAATAAAACTGTAAATTGGAAACGTGAAAATGTTCACTACGGCTGGACACACTACGTAAAATAACCTACAATAAAAGTCCATACATAACTCTGAATGTCCAGTTGTCCTTTGCAAGTGAACGACAAAATCTCGGTGTGCCATCACCTGGTTAAACACAGGACTCGGAGTGTCATTTTACTGACCGTTCTGTTTTGTTTGTGTGCGGAGCACTCGCGCAGTAGTTAAACCACTGCACTATGAACCCGGTGACCGGACATCGATTCTCGGCCACGAGCTAACATCAGCGACAAGTGAACTGGTTCTACACCTCCTCTGCCGCCCACTTAACGAACACACACCGACCGGCGTCGTTAACGTACGGTCAAACACACCATTTCGCCGAAAAATGTGGTTAGCAGGCCTTCATCAGCAATGAATTTACAAATGGCTGCAAATGTATATTATTCACAAAATTTACCTGTCTAATGCCAGCAGACAAATAACATTTAAGTCCTCAAATTTAACCCCTAAATACTCTGCAGGGCAATTGAGACAGAATCATGCTCAACATGTGTGTTTACCTCTTGATTGCTCCAGCATAATTCTCCCTGCTAATCCATTTTGGTTCCATTTTAATTACATAACCACACCATCTGTCTTCTCATTAGAGCATGTGTTACTACAATGTTAAATAGTAGCTTGGCTGAGCATATCGCTGCGCAAACGTCGCACATTGATAGCTTTGTTGCCTAATTACTGTGTCTCGCATGTGTACAATGTACACATTTCTCTACAAAACAAACTGTTGTTGCTGGATGGCTCTGCAACCACAACAGTCCAGAATTCTCACTGGAAGAATATTCTCCATGTACCATGTGCAATTACTGCCCATTCCTAAGCAACGTATATATTTTAGGACCACTGCATATGCTCCAGACTAATGTGAAGGAGATTTACGGTGTCGACCCAAGGCCAAAAGCACAAGGAATGCTGTATATTGGCTCCGAGAGCCCTACATCAACACAAATTAAAATAACGGCTCCGTTCAGGCGTAGCAGACACACACGCGCGCGCGCTTACGTACGCGGCACGAACAGCAGCCCAACGGGAGAACTCAAGGACGAAAGACAATCATAGGGCTTCGTCTCAAGAGCTATCTGTTGGTGCTGCAAGGTTCCTTAATGGCCGCCAATGAAATTTGGAATCGCTGAAACGATGCTGACAGCGAGGGTGATGAACAAAATGCCAACCAAATCTAGCCGATCGATATTCTGCCACTGACAAGCCCCTCCAACGCATGCGACGAGACGAGGGAGTGTGCGCGAGAGGTCGTCAGCTGACACGCTCTATAAGCTAGACATTCATTTCACGTATCCATTTAATGTTTTGTGATCCAATTTTCTATTTATAAATAGGAATGACATATTGCACTGCGGCGTGCACTGCGTGTCGTGCTATAGTAATCAGGCCTGGCCTTATGGGTGGGCAATCAGGGCAGCTGGCGAAGGCGCAAAACCGTAAAAGGGGCACTGTGAGTGTATAAGGGGCATGAACATTTGCAAATGGGGTAAGAGAGAGAGACGCAGAGACACATAAAATCAATGAGACGCAAAGAAACGAAGATCCAGAGAGGGAACAAACACGGACACATAGAAAGTGACAGAGACACTGAATAACACAAAATGACACGCGGACTCAAATCGAGACAGAGACCGGCACGAATTAAACAAAGATGCAGTCGCACAAAGAGAAACACAAAAAGACACAGACTAACGCAGTGACACGAACACAAACACAGAGAGACAGGCCCACACACCCCCCCTACCTACTCCACTGGGGAACCCTAGGGGCACGAACATTTTAGTTTCACAAGAACACATGTAATAACAGTGCTGGCCTTCATAGCAGTGGTTCTGTAACAATATTTCAGTGGTGAAAATAAACATTCCTACAAGGATCGCCTGGGCAGAATGCACTCCAACTAACAAAGTAGATCGTTAAGACATTAAACAATGAGACCTTTTTTTTTAACCACTCACGTAAACATATGGCAGCATTCTAATGAAGACGCCGTGCTTTCAATAGAAAAGGTAACAGCTGTAAAAAGTCTCATGGGGTGGAGATTGCAAGGCTTCTAAACATTAAGAATCCCACTCGGAGCTGCAAAGCACATCAATCATTTCGCCATTATTGATGGCTCCTGCCAGAGCTAACCTTGTTATGTTAAGCTAAGCAAAGACCTTAGCCACCTAATTGTATAATGAATACATTTCATCTTTGTTTGCGATTTCATAATGATACGCACACAACAAAGCATTGCGTTGCTGATCACATTGCTGATAAAATGGTAGGCAGCATTGACCCTTAATTCGGTGTTGCATTTAACTTGAACATCCTTCCAATGAAGCATGGTACACCAGACGATCTGTGGAAACAAATCTAATTGCACGAGCGTGTAACCGAGTGAGAGCGCATGTTTGCAAACATGAAGGTGACACCGGTGGGCCTACTGCACTACAAACATGGTCACCTTGGTTCAATTCCTGGCCATGGATAACAAGTGACAAGTAGCATCTAAACTTAGCCTGGACCTCCCCTACAGTTGCCACAGCTTTCAATGACTATATGGCAGGATGTGTAAGCATCAGCAATGGGCGTGACTGGGAGTGATGCTGACGACAACACACAGCCTTGCATGGGTGTTTGCTGACAGCATGACAGCACTCGCACAAAGAAAATGAAAGGGTATATGAAAAATATCTGTGTCGATGTAGTTGCAATTTTGAAACCAAATGCAACAAGCACTGCTGTATCAGTTTGCAGCGAGTCAGCAGTTCGATTTCAGCACTAAACTAAATATTTCTGTAGGGATTTATACACAATAGACCTGTGAAATCCACTTTTTAACACCTCATGTGGATCATTCACGGGATTTGCCATTCGTATGCTCAGACTTCCAACTCACTGTGCCAGTCTCACTTCTTAGCCCCGTAGTCCGATATCCCAAATACATACCCAAAAAAAACTAATTTTGAAACCTGTCGCCCTAATGCACATGACCTCTTCTGTAGAATATCCCACGATGGAGTTATTACGC